TTCCTGCTTTCATGTACAGGTTTTCCAATGTCACGCACACATCCCAGTTCATAACCATGTCAATTCCATATGATATGCAGTTGTTTTTCAGCTTTTTTAAAAAAAAATATTTTCATCTTCTTTTTCTTTCTTCTCCCAACAGAAATAATGCGATCAAATGGATTTTGTTTAGCCAACACTGAAACTATAGTCATTGACCACAGTATACCAAATGGAAAAGAGAAGCACCTGGATGTAGATTCAGCAGAACATTTGTAAGTGGGGTTTGTGTATGAGTGATGTTGTCAGCTTTGAATAAATTGTAGCTTTTTTTTCCCATCCTAGCAAAAAATTATCTTCTCTCTAGGAGCAAGACTGATACAGTTGTTTTTCAGACGGGTTAAAGGTTACTGGGCCTCATTGCTGAGGCTTCACAGCTATTCCAATTAAATGGATAAAATGGCTGTGGGTGAGAATGATTGATCCCAAGGAGCTCAGTCCTCTGCGTATGAAAAAAGCTGTGATTGGCATAGGGGTCCTGCCAGAGGAGAAGAGAGGACTTTTTTCTTTCTTTCATGACTGTGATGAGAGCTGGCTTGAGCCCAAATCTGGAAACTCAAACATCCTTACAAATGGAGTATCCTAAGAGGGATATGCTTTATTTGGGAAGAAAAACACCATCCTTAGAGGAGGGGAGCACAGCCCTGAACTTAATCAAGGGAAGCAGGGCACCTGCTTAGGTGCTGCCACATGCTGGCATGTGGTGAAGCGTGTGTATTTCATTAAGGAAGAGGGAAGTTAGATTTGTCTTATTTGTAAATTCTGCCTCCTGATGCATATAAGTATTCTGGGGTCAGAGACCTGTAAGCAGGAAGGCTTTCACGAAGGTCTTAAGTCAGTGGCTGTTATCAACAGATGGGTATTGATGGAAATCAGCTCCTATAGATTTCTGTCATGGCAGGTGATTGATGTTTCAGTGAGTGTTTTTAATGAGAAACATTGACCTACTTTTTCATTAGAGCAGTCAAAATGATGGAAATGGAACATTAATGATCTAGTTCAACCCCCCTGCCAAAGCAGGTTCCCTACATCAGGTTGCATAGGAAAGCATCCAGGTGGGTTTTGAATATCTCCAGAGATGGAGACTCCACAACCTCTCTGGGCAGCCTGTCCCAGTGTTCCAACACCCTCACAGTAAAGACGTTTTTCCTCACGTTTAAGCAGAACCTACCTGCCCCTTGTCCTATCGCTGGCCACCACTGAAAAGAGAAAAGAGTCTGGTCTCATCCTCTTGATACCCACCCTTTAGGTATTTATAAGCATTAATAAGGTCCCCTCTCAGTCTTCTCTTTTCTAGGCTAAACAGTCCCAGCTCTCTCAGCCTCTCCTCATACAGGAGATGCTCCAGCCCCTTGATCATCTTTGTGGCCTCTGCTGGACTCTCTCCAGAAGTTCCCTATCTCTCTTGAACTGGGGGGCCCAGAAATGGAAACAATAATCCAGATGTGGCCTCACCAGGGCAGAGTAGAGGTGGAAGAGAACCTCCCTCGACCTGCTGGCCACGCTCTTTTTAATGCATCCCAGGACACCATCGGCCTTCTTGGCCACAAAGGCACACTGCTGGCTCATGGCCAACTGGTCATCCACCAGTGCTCCCAAGTCCTCTGCAGGACTGCTTTCCAGCAGGTCATCCCCCAGCCTGCACTGGTGCATGCGGTTATTCTTCCCCAGGTGCAAGACCCTACACTTGCCCTTATTGAACTTCATCAGGTTCCTCTGCGCCCAACTCTCCAGCCTGTCCAGATTGCGCTGAAGGAAGTTAAATCAGGAGTCAAGAAGTTAATAAATTTTAAATGTGTGTTTCACATGATGCCCTAAATTTGCCCATCCTGTAGCTGTATTTTATTGCCAAGAGGTAACAGCCTGGAGGTAATGGCTCTTGTGTAGCACAGTGGTTTTTGTGAAAACTGAACTTTTTTTTAAAAGCAGAAGTTTCCTCTACTGTTGCTTTAAATGTAGGTTAGTAGCCCAGAAGGGAAGCTTTAAAATCTTTCAAAATCCTATGCAGTTCCTTTTTGGTCTCTGTAAAATTTGATTTATGGGATTGGTGTTTTCTATTCTGAAATCAGAGTTAATTCCTTGTGGACTTGTATATCCTCAGATGGGAACTTTTTCCTTTCAGCAACATTAAACTCTGTATGACTTTTGGGTTTTGGCTGCTGATGTACTTGTATCAGACATTTTGTAAAGCAAACCTGTATTTGTTAGAGAGAAGCACTTGGAGCCTCAGCAGGTAGCATTCATTCCCCAAGGCCCCACTGCACTGGCTAGCTGTTGTAGTCTGCAGAGCTACCTACCCAGTGATCCATCAGCTGAAAAGTCTCATACTTGTTGCAAATGAAACTATAGAATTTTTGCAAGTTGGAGTTGCATACTCTCTTGTTCTGAAGTAGTTTTTTTCTGCTTTCTCCATTTTCTCCCTGATTTTAGTTGGCAGTACACCATACTGTTGCAAAATGGGGTGAACCCAGCATGCTCAGCATCCAGGTGCCATAAATAGTCCTTTTATGTGTGCTTCTTTGAGTACTCTGCAGTCCTTTCAGATGGAAAGGTGGTAAATGAATGCATTCAATCCTATGCTTTGATTTTGTTACAGTGTTGGTCTCCTGCTTGCACTTTGGTCTTTTGGACCAGCAGCAGAGGCTGTGTTATTGGACATGCTGCCTTTTTTGGCAAATTCACTCCAGTAGTGGATGTGTAGTTTCAGGATGATGCTCCCATTGTCACAATCATCTTGTGGTCCATGGGAGAAACTTTCATGGGTGTTTATGCAAAAGCAGGACAGAGATGATGAAGGGAGATATAGAATGTTTCCAGGAAAACAAAATCCTGCTCTTGACAGGTGATGAGAGGAGCTGGACTGTTCTCACACCATGTTTACACTTGGGGTTGCTCCTGTGAGTTCACAAACTTCTATGTACCTTGTTTCCCTCTTCGTTCTGGCAAATGTGAGTAGTGACTTTAAGGCATTAACAGGGGTTAAAATGATAAAGAAGGTTGTCTTACAGCACAAGGAGTAGGCCCTTGTGAAGGGTGGTGTGTCTGTCACGGTACTTTTGGAAAAAATAGCAAGAGCAGCAGTTTGGGTATTTCGGAGTCTGCATGTCCATAGTAGTTTGCAGAGTTTATTTTGGGAAAAAGACCTGTTGGTAAGAGTGCCAAAGCATTTGGACTGTTGGGTGTCCTATGTAGCTGCTAGCTGTAGTAAACAGTCCTGGCTTATTGGGTTTCGTTTCCTATGAGCATTCCTGAGCAGGGCTTTGCAAACTTCTGTTCCCACACTTCCTTTTTGGCAGCAAGGAAAACTTTCTGCATAACCACAGCATGTGAATGCCACTTGCTTTGTACCTCACATGCTGCTTTATAGTACCCTGCCAGTGGGGCTGAAGAACCACAAAATCTGTGGGGCCTTCCAGTTGTAATAATCTAGTTGTATACAATTGACAAGAGAAGGAGAGCAGAATCTGAATAGCCTTCTTGACTCCTCCTCTGCTTTCTTCTTTCTCTCTGCCCCACTGGTATTTCATAATCTGTTGTTTCTGGATCACCAGCAGTCCGTAAGACACCACAATGTGATCTATGAGTGCTTGCAAGATACCAATTCAACTCCCTACTGCATGTGTTCCCACGCACGCAGGCAAGCCAGCAGCCTGGAGGAAGTAGAGGAACAGGCTAATAAACATTCAAAGTTCAGTCACATTTCAGTTTGGCTGTAAGTAAGGAGCATAGCAACAGCACCACAGGAGAAAATCCCTGAGTTTCTGCTCAAAAAACATTGTGGTCCTCATAGTTAAAGAAGAGGTGAGAAGGACCAGGCAGGAGTGTGGAAAAGAGACGGAGCTGTGTCTATACGTTGCAGGATGTATAGATCATGCTATCCAATAACCTGTGATGCTTCTAAAGAAAGAAAATTTTAGGCAGAGATGGGAGTGGGAGATTATCTGTTTCTTTGGGTCCTCTGAAATATGTGACTCTTGGGGCTCTCTAGGGTGAGGTTAGAGGAATGTCTGCAGTTGCCTCACTTAACTGAAGGAGTTTAACTAGTTCATGTGTAGGTGAGATGCAGTTTTAAAACAAATTGTTTTAAAGCTTCATCTGTTTATCTGCTATTCAGAGAGCTGAATTATGCCAACCTAAAAAGATGTTAGAGACAAATCCTATAATCAGAGCTGGGTTAGGATTTTTTCCCCACCCTGTTCAATTTTTCAGTTTCTGTTTTGTTCTTTTCTCACTCTATCAGGATGAATGCAAGATCTTTCAAAATGTTAAAGAGAGTGTGTGTGAGAAAGAAACATGACAATTCTTTGAGTCCCTTGCTTGAACTGAGATGAGATTTAATCCTTGGCCTGCAGAGACTGCCTTTAAGTGCTAGACTATCTGGGAAGAAGTAAAGTGTTTCCTTAACTGCAGAAATTCAAGCCTTCTTGGCACAGGAATGTATGTGATGGAGGAAAGTGGAGATTTTAATAAGTTGATGCCTTCTGGTTGAGAGCAGGTGTGAGACAATGGGGAATCCTTGTAAAAGGTCAGGTTATAACACAGGAGTTAGAAAATGGGATGGAAAATACCAAAGCAAGTTAAACTAAATTTGGAAATCTCTTTATATTTGGATGTTCTCTGCTTGTCAAAGCCTAAATCTCATGCAATGGGGAGGACAGTGAGAGGCTGGAGGAAGGATACTGTAGTCACTGTTTCCTATTTGTGTTAGACATTTGGCCTCTTACAAAAGCCAAACCCAGAGAAGGTACCTATGAAGTGAAAGTGTGAGAACCCAAGTTCAGATGGGAAACAAAGGCAGTTCCCTTTCCCTTCTTGTGTGGGAACTGAGGCATTTTGTGTTGCTGCCACATGCTGTGAGAACAAAATGTAAGGATGTAAGGACCTCAGCTGCATGATTCACTCGTCCAGAGCTCACTTGCTGCTTCCTTCCTTCCTCACTAGTTGCTTTGAAAATCGGGGGTGACAAGATGATTGGCCTGCAGGCACCAGGGTTCTCATTGGCCTTTGGTTTATTCATATACACATGGGTGTGGTGAGGAGGAGGTGGAGGGGATCAGCTCTGAGGACTTTCTGTGAAGATTTTCCCATAGCACAGTGAAAGCTCTGATAAAGACTGATAAAAATCTCATTGTAGAGTTAACCAGAATTGCCTGACCGGAAAGGGTATGTCCCAGGAAATCATTAATTCCTTAGGAGGATGGGAGCCCTGGGACATGAAAACAAATTAATAATGTTTTTGATCTGTCTCACCTTAATGTGGTAACCAGGTGTTGTGAGATACGAAATTCAGATATTATAATGACAAGTGCTGTGAAGAGTCAATGTCATACTAGAGAGGAGTCATAAAAGTACCTTTTACTGCAGACTGCTATCTAAAGAGATGAGAACTTCCTCTCCTAGCCTGCTGCACAGCTGTGTTTTAGCACAGGTTTAAAAAGGAATACCATCCTGTTTTACTGAAAGCAAACTCTTCAGTCCGTTCATTTCCGTAGGTCATGAAGAAACAGGTTTTCTGTTTGTTTAAGGACATGGAGAGCAATGTTTTTTTCTAGGAGGTGTTGAATCTTGGTTTACAAAAGTGACAGTAGATGCCATTGCTGGTGTCTCCAGTAGGGCATAAAGATATGTAGGCTGATGTCAGAGAAACTATAGCTTCATGACTCATAGTTGATCTGAATGGACCTTCCTTGGCAACTTCTAGTATGAATTTGAATTTCAGGCTGCCAAGAGAGGGAGTGAGATACTGAAGCTTTGGAAAAAGAGTTGAGGCTCTAGATCGTTGTCTTGCAAACTGAGCTTCACAAAGCTGAAGCTGCAAACCAGCATTAGAAATACTTCTACTGCAACTGGTGTGAAGCAAGTCTACATGTTAAATTTACTCAGAAATTTAACTTGCAGTACCAGCAGAAGTATTCTTGCCTGCAGCCCTTTTTCCAAGTAGTCCCCTCACAAATGTATTTTCTCAAAATTTCCAGAGGTCAGTCTTCAGATATCCTGGCCTTCTCCCTCTCCCTCAGTACTTTACTTCCAATTCCTTTGACTTTAATATTGTAAATGAACATTAATGACTTAATGCCTTTTTTTTTTTTTTTTTTATTTCTCTTTAGGTTTGAAAGTGTTAGTGACTTTACCTCAGAGCTAGAAGACAGTGATGATCCAACAGCTTATGTCACCAATTTGACATACTACCACCTGGTCCCATTTGAGACTGATATTCTGGACTGAAGCTGCTCAGTGATGCAGTCAACCAGCATCCAGCCGACCTCTTCGTCCATAGGCTCTGCTATCTCTGGCGTTGCATCTCTGTGAAAAAGGCTCTGCGGGCAAGACCAACAGCAGAGAAGTTCAGCAAGTATGCTGAAAAGCTGGTTTTGCCGTCTGGCCCTCCGTTGCACATCATGGAGACATCTTGTAAGGAGGTAACTGCTTCGCTGTTGACAGCAAACTCATTTTCCATGAAAGCAAAGCAGCAGAGGCCTCCTGGGGCTCGAGAAAATCTCTGCTATGTCTGTGGGAACTGCCACTCCGACACAGCCATCAGAAACTGTCAGCCATGCTCCTTGGCTTGCAGTGCAAGTTGAGTCTTCCTCTTTTAGGATACCACCAGAAACTTCCCCATATGGTGTGACCACACTTTTTATGCTACGTAAGCGAGAAGGCGAGCAAGCCAGCTGAATTTTGTCAGTTCCCTCTACGGTTGCTTAATCAGGGTCTTGCGGGTCACTTTCTGCTCAGCTACCGGATGACTGGTGCCTTACACGAGATGTCAGAAATACCATTGAGTGCCTCCAGGAAACAGAACGCATGAGCTGACCACTTTACTTCTTTTAATCATGGGTTTTCTATAATCACTGAAGAGGCGACCACCCTTTCCTGGAATAGTCAAGCAGACAGTGGCTGGCATTGCAATGGACTGTGCATGATGTTGGGGTACCCATATGATTTCAGAGATCTGGGAAGCTGATGGGAAAGCTGAGCTGCCCTGCTAAGAATGGTCAAGGCTACGGCATGCACTTGGGTATGATTTTTTTTTCACGTGGACCAGCAAATGTGAATGGTGCTTACAGTTGTTTACATCAGAGAGATAATTCCCTATGCATATTTCTCTCCAGAGGATGGAGAGGAAGATAATGAGATTGATGTTGAGTTTGGACTGAAAAAGAATGGTAAGCTACAGTGTGTCTACAGTGGTAGGACAGATGCTCTCTCCACTGCCAGCCTGGCTCAAGGAATCTGTCTAGCTTTCCAAAATCCAGCTGCAGGGCCAGGTACTGGCCTCGTCGTCATGTAATGCCATGGATTTCGGTGGAGGTAGGACAGTGGGAGCAAGAGTGGGATTGGGCCCTGCAGCCTCTTGACTACTGAGTAGTGCAGCGTTAACATCTCGTCGAGGTCTCTCTCTTGCAGAGCACTCTGAAATCCCAGCTCTCGCTGTGAGTGCTCAACACTCGCCAACGTGACCTTTCATTGAGTTTTTTGCAATCTATCTGCAAACGTGAATTTGAAGGGATTGAAATGGGAAGGAATGCATTTTGGACTTGTTTCTCGGTAAAGCGGCTCGCTTGGTCCTGAAGTTGATACAACTCCCTTTTGCAGACTCTTCATTTCTATCTATAGAATAACAGTCAAACAGAATTTGCTAATGTAAATAGTAAATTATTGAGAATCCTAAATCCTTTACACAGTATGTTTTTAAAATATATTTTAATGAAATAAAATATAACTCGCCTTCAGTACACTTCTGAAGCTTAAAAACAGCGGCTTCCTTTTTTTTTCCTTTTGAGGAATCTTTCCCATCCTCTTTCTAGTAGTTTTGGAAAAATGCCGAGTTTTGGCAATTCTTTCTTTGCTCCATGTGTTGCCCATACTGTAGATATGGTGTATACCTGTGTGAAACTTCTCTGCTTAACTGTTGAGCTTGTTTCTAGGTATATGTGGTTCAGTGCCACTAAGCTTAGTGGAGGAATTCTCCATTTTCAAGATGATAAGTGAAATTGAATCTGACAGTTATTCTTTTTGAAGGTAAAACAGATTTCTGGAATATAAAGGGATACATTCTGGCCCATGTTTTTAACCATAAGCTTTACACCAAGGCCTTATTCTGCCTTGATGGTAAAACATTCTCTTCTGACTGCAGATTTTTCATAACTACCTATGTTTAAACTGCTACACCACAGGCCTATCCCCTGGGTCCAACAACTCTTCCACCTTAAAGTGTTTAGAATTACTATATTAACCCATGTGCTGTTGTAAGTGATGCTCTCTCTATAACATTGCCATGATATGCTACCAAGCAGAATGGAAACTGAAGCACCGATGGAAAAGTTGAGCATTCTGCTACATCAAAAGACAAAATTTAACAGAATGGTATCTGGACAATGCTTCTTGCAGGATGTCACTAGTCTATAATTAGAGCTGGTTGAAAAGAAAAAGAAAAGAAAAAAAAGAAAATTCTCTGTGTTCCTTTTCAATCACGTGTTCAAACTAAGATTTTTTTTATCAACAGTAAGGTATCTGTACATATGAATGGACCATATGCATAATTCATACTCTGAACCTCTCCCAGTTGTAGAAACTTGATCCACATGAGAAAGTTGCAGTGATTTAACCAAAGAAGGGCTTTTAAATTGTCTCTACGAACAAAGTAATCTTGGCTACTTCCTCTTCTTTCACCTTGATGACTGCAAAAATATGTTCCTATCTTCTTGCAGCTGCTTCTCTGTTGGGGGGGTGGTGAAAGAAAAGTCTGCAGACACAGAGATTCATCCTGAAATCTCTCTGCTTTGGGGTTTCGTCTTAATTTTTGTCCGTGGTTGGTTGTCACTGGGCTGCTGGAACTCCTTTCTGGATCCCATCTGTCAGAAAGAGCATGTGTCCCTGGAGATCACGGCTGCCTGGACATCAAGTACCTCCCTGGGGACAGGAATGAGTCAAGGACAGGCTGGGACATGGGCCTGGTTTGGGGAGCTGGAGACTGGTCCTGCTATGGCATCACTGGGGCAGGGGTTGATGTCCCTGGGGCTGACATGGGGTCCTGGACCATGGGCAGGTGAGGCAGGGACAACCAGGCTGGTGGGTGCCCTTGGGGCCAATACTGGACACTCAGGATTTTTGCCCCACATCTTTTGGAAGTATATTTATTTTTTCCATTGCAACAAACAGTTACTGCAGACATGAAATATGGTGCAGAATTCAGTTATTGCTGCACTATTGTGTTAAAAAAAACCCCAGTCTTTCATCATTAAAGAAAAATGTAGCTGAAATAAAATTCCAGCTCTTAGATTTCTAAACAAGATTTCTCCTCTGTGAACCAGTTGTAGCTGGTAAAATCCCCCAGTGCCCAGGTCTGCAGAACCCTGTGAAAAGTATCTTAGGGGATACAAAGTGCTGATGTCCATCTCAGTGGTGTGTTTCTTCAGAAACGTAACAACAAACATGTAATTTGCAGTGTTATTCATTAGCTGCCATCTGCTGATTCTAACAGAAATGAGTGACACAAGGGTTTTATCCCCAAACCCCTCTCCACAATGCAAAGCCAGTTCCTGTGTAAGCCTCGTTGCTGAAAAAGCAGTCTTTATTTTCTCTGCACCTTTGGCTTCTCCCTTTGGCACTCTGGGTGGGGATTGTGTGTAGCAGTTCTTCTGAGCTGCATGAGCAGAATGGAGTTGAAGTCTGCTGGTGAGCAGTGAAGGAGCAGGAGGTGTGTCTCTCTTGGGACAAAATAATTTGGTTTTTATCTTTCAAAATCATTAAATATGCTGGCATTACAGCATTGCCAAATATTAAGAGACTCAAGGAAGAGAAAGGGTATCACACTATGCTATGTCTTGTCCACTAGTCTTTTGGGGTTTTTTTGTTATTTTTTTTGTTGTTGTTGGGGTGTTTTGAGTTTTTTTGTTGTTTTGGGGGTTTTTTTGGTACAGTGAATACTTTTTAAAAGCCCAGCCTCAGATTCCAAGGCCATTCTTTATAGCAGCAATAATCTGTAGCTCAGCATCAAAGTATTTGAAAAAAATTTAAAAAGAATGTTTCCTATAATAATGTCCATTCTTGTTCCAGTCATCTCTCTCTGAACTCCCTTAGCGCAGATTATTCAGGCTATTTTACCGGTCAGCTTTCCTCAGTGTAATTGCTTTCTTATGGAAATACTCACACCCTGAAGTGCAGTTCCCAAGTTTTATAGTACACAGAGCATTCCCATTTTCAGTGTTGTCAGGCTCTAAAACCATCCTCATTATAATTAACATTGCTAATACATACATTGGGAGATTTATGTACGGGAGAAATACCAAGGTAATATTATACATAATATATCTAGATTTAATGAATGGAGAATTCACATTCACCATAGCAGCAGTGAAGACGTGGAAATAGCTTGGGTGCATTTACAATTGAATTGTATGAATCCAGACTTTCTTGGGGGTCTCCCAGCCTCTGTTACCATGTCTGTGTTTCTTACAATTAATGTGTATAACCCCACCATGTTCTAGTGGGAGAGAACAGCTTGAGCTTCCATATCACAGGATAAATGGGGCACCAAGAGATCGTTGAGACATGATTTTGCAGTGCTTAGTTTTTGTCCCAGCAGGACATCTAGCACCTTGCACCATGGGACAGGAGCTGTTACAGAGATTTAGGTTGTTCTTCACTTGAAAGGTTGCTATTAAAGGAACCTGCTCAGTTAAGGATTTAGAGAAAAGCTCCTTATTCTCTAAAGGTGCCTTGTCAAACCTTGCATAGTAGTAAAATTTATTTTCTGCTGCCTGGTGAGGCTGCCTACGTGTCTGAAGTGAAGAGGTAGCTCATGCCAGATTAGCACCTGCTGCTGCCAGAAAGACTGGATTAGACCCCAGCCCCTGCCCGGGCTGCAGAGATGCCTTCAACACCCATCTTCTAGTCCTTAAATTCTGCTAAACAATTTTCAGAAGCTTTTAGATAGAAATGACAGCTAATGCACTGGCAAGAAGAAAACCCAAATGTGAACACCGATTCTTGACTAAAAGCATCCCTCCATCAGCTCTGTGTGTGTTTTTTCAAGTGATCTTCAAAAACCAGAGGATTATTCTCTAAAATCTTTTGTGGCATATGTTGGAGCTCCATGTAAGACCTTGTACGTCCCTCTGGTGCAACTATTTCTGACACAACCTGGCAAAAATCAATACTTGGCTACAGCTGTGGTGTGTGTGTTTATAAGGTCTGTGAACTCCTGAGCTTCCTTCAGCTCC